TAAATTTGAGCTCAAGTGCTTCAAAGTTTTAAGCTCAACTCCATCAGCAAATTAGATAGGTATATATCTATGGGTGAGAAAAAAGCCATTGATGGCATACTATATGAATCAATATTACTATTAGTATTATTATTATTATTAATATCATTCCGATTACCAATGAACTTGCATAACTCGCTTTACCATTCTCAATCTATATCAAGGTGTATCAAGATCCATTAGCAGTATCACTATTATAAGTAACAACATTGGCATTGGCTTTACCATTAGTATTGCTATGGACGCTAGCATTAGTCATTATTATTAGCAGTAACTTTAATATTAGAATAGGGCTTTAAATTAAACTAGCATTAGCATGCACATCAGCATTAACATTAGTATTAGTATTAGCATTAGCATTACCACTTTACACTAACATAACGATTAGCATTGGCGTTAACACTAGCTCTAGTATAAGCATTAGCATTAACATTAATATTGGCATTAGCATTAACATTAATATGGCAGAAGCATTGGCTCTAACATTAGCATTACCATTAGTATTGTTATCAACAGTAGCATTAACATGGCATTGGCATTGATATTAGTATTGGATTTGTCATTATCATAATCATAATCATAATCACAATTAGAATTATTACAATCAAATTATATAGATTCATCGAGTGGTTATATTTAAACATTTTACACACCTATGATATGATATATGCATACCGACTCTTAGTTTTCATTGACCTAAGCTCTGACAATAAAATTGTCCTTAGCGCACAACCCCAACGAAATCTGGAATTGGCTAATACATCTGCTCTCGGGAGGGCCGCACAAATTGCTTGCTAATTTTGAAACCAATCAACGGCAGCAATTGCACAACCAATCCACAACAACAACAACAACAACAACAACAATAACAGGAACAGGAACAAGAAAGAAAACAGTAAGCGAACAAAAGTCCAAAACGTCTACCAAACCACATCCACACATCCACAGCCATCCAGATAGCCTCCTCCTCCTCCTCTTCCTCCCTCCTCCACCTCTTCCTCCTCCTCCTCCTCCTCCTCCTCTCCTCCTCCTCCTCCACCTCTTCCTCCTCCTCTTCCTCCTCCTCTTCCTCAAGAGCAGATGATGCTGGAGCAGTTGCCAATCCACCAAAAAACTGCCCATTAGCACGTGCTGTCCATGTCAATGGCTAAGCCATTTTATTCCAGTCGGAAGGAGGAAGTGGCAAGTGGTCAGAGCAGGGCTGAGGAGTGGACAAGGGGAGGCAAAACGGCTCGTAACGTGCATGTAATTGTGTCACCAGGGATGGGGCCTAAGCCGGAAAGTTAAGCCCGTAGCTGGCCCGTGGCCACTTTTGCTGCTGCCACTTAAAAATCCACTTAATCCCGCCGTCTTAAAAAAGACGCAAAGCAAGCACGGAACTTGGCGAACATTGCCCCTCCCGCCCCTCGCACCCCGCGCACCGCTCGCTGCCTTCTCTGGCCATTTCTGTGATGTATTCAAACTGCAAGTCGATTGTTATTTTTATGCCCGTAGCGGAAATAGACATCTCCGACCCGCCTCCCTCTCGCTCCTTCGCTCGCTCTCAAGCCCTTCGGCAACTCCAGCAAAAACTTCCAAGACAACTTTGTCGAAAGCATTGGGGCTAAGTCAAAGTCCTGGCTGAAGTCTCAAGGCATAAGTACCAGATGATGAAAAAAGTGAAAAGAGTACGAAGTAAAAGTTTTGCCGCCTAAAAGTCTGTTAAGACCTACAACTAGAGGTCATCAGGTGAGGGGGGGAGGAGTGGAGGGGTGGGTAGTACCTGCTATTATTGAAAGTGCCCGCCGAGTAATTTAAAAGTTTAGCAAAGAGGCAGTACATGCCCCGCCCTCATTTAGTCCCGTTCGCATTGTATTGAGGTCGAATTGATTCTTTATAATAAGTATGGATTGTAGGCGACTTTAAATCACTTTTGTTATAATGCCCCAGTGACCCGCTTCGCCCGACTGCTCCGCGATGCATGCAATTGATTGGCTCAAGTACAAAATTCTTCAATAATTTTGCCAGCAACTCCAAAGTTTGGCAAGCAACTTTTCATTGTGAGTGTTTTTTTTTTTTTTTTTATCCTGCTCGTGCTTTTCTTTGCTCTTCATACTTCATAAAAGAGCAGCGGGCTATGCACATGTTATGCCACGCCCACCCACAAGCCGCCCACAAATTGAGTCCAAACAAGATTTGTGAGCTGAGCCCAAAAGAAATCCGCTTTTATTACCCAACGAGCAGCGCATTAAATATTCTTGCTTCATTTCACAGTAACAGTCAATACACTGCGAGAACCGACGTTGAATTGTTTTTTATCATACATACATATATGGAGAAAAGGTTTACAATCAATAAAACAATTTTTCAGAGTATTGCCACAAGACGAAATATATAAAAACATAAATTAAATGTAAATTAAATATACAAACTTGAAATAGTAATAAAAATAAAATATTTTTTTAGAAACAAATATAAGATTAATTCATCAGCTCATTAAATTCTTAAATTAAATTTTTTTTTTTTACTTTTAAAATTCTCAAATAAAAGTAATTTTAAAAAAAATTATATAATTTGTTTTTATTTTAAACTATAAATATTTGTTGTATTTAACAGAAAACTCCTCAAGTTCGTTCAGTGTATTATTGAGGCAGTTTTTTGTGTTTTATTAGTCGGATGCCAGCGCCTTCTCTCAGAATTTGTTTTACAATTTAGTCACGCGCTGCGTTTCGTTTTTTTTTTTTTTTTCTCTGCCTCTTCTTCTACTTTAGCAATTTTTGTTCACCTTTTTTAATTAATTTTATTTTGCTTGAGAGCGTGCGGCGTTTATGCGCTTCAAAGGATGCTAAGCAGCAGCAGAAACAAGAACAACAGCAATAACAATAACAACAACAACAACGACTACTACCAGCAATAGCGTTCGTTAATGGTAATGGCCATGGCAAATCAAAATGGCGACACGCGCGCTTCCGTTTCCGCTCAACTGCAAAATTTGTCGCTTGTCTATTTAATTTATATATTTATTTAGGCTTTCGCTAGCAGCATTTCTAGTTAATTAGCCTAATGACTGCTGTTCTGTTTCGTCTGCTTCAGACGGCGACGGCGACGGCGACGTCGACGGCAACGACTGCCAACCTCGATAAACAGTCGAAAACTATTCGAGCTGACATCAATTCAAATCTACTTTGACTCTCGCTCCCCCTCGCCCCACCACAGCCACGGCCATGGCCAGAATATGCAAATGATTCCATTATCTGAGTGCCCGCCTGCAAATGGGTTGAATTTTAATCCCAGCAAAGGAATCAAACTCATAACAGTTATGCCATTGAAACAGTCAATTGCCCTCGGCTATTTCCATATTTAATTGATTTAACATTCCGATAGCGACAAATGAAATTTAATTTTCATTTTAAATATATTTTAGTGTTTTGAGAGGGGGAAATTTGCCTTAGTGTAGTCGACGCTCATTAGCAAGATTTTATTCCATTGGAATTTGTATAAAATCATATAGCAAATTATTTGTTTTATGTTATTATACATATTAGAAAAGTATATTGTCATTAACCGAATTCTTGACGTAACAGTACCTGGATAGAGCTGCAATTTCTGGCCTTCACCTCGACCTCCTCATCGAGCCATCCAGCTCAAACTGACTGGAAAGTCTTGTTAGTCGCGATAAATAAATGTTTTCAACACAATTGACATCAACTAGTTGTTATAGAGCTTATTAAATGCACAGATTGAGTATTAGTCCAACACAGTGTGATTTTAATTTGCATTAACACTTGCAAATTTAACTTTTATAAATTGACTTGGCAATTCATTCGATAAAAGCGCTTTACTTTACTTTACTCAGCAGACAACAAAAGTTTCACACGCAGCCACATAAATGCTCATTTGTAAATGTGTGCTCACACATGCACATGTGTGTGTATGCATGTTCATTACAAATGTCTACAATAATTAACACATCAACGCTTTGATACCCTACTCACACATAGTTATGCAAATATTCCGCATGAAAGTCGCAAAGACTTTTCGTGTGTGTGCTATGCCCTTCGCTCAGAGAGTATGAAATTGTCTTTCTTTCTCTCTCACTCTCCAATTGGCAAAAGGTCAATTTTTGTGCACGGCTACCTGCGCATATGCTGTAAATGGATTTGAGAGAGCCCAGAGCAGAGAGTAAGCTGGCAAAGATAGCGGGACTTCTCATGAGCAACGAAGATCATTTCGGGCGGGCGGTCAAACGCGCAATAATTGTGAAAGATTTTTTTCCTTTGGTAATCGAATGAAAGCTGAAGTGGAACTTGGAAGCTGATGCACACATTTGTTATGTTTAACAAGTTTGTGTTGTTCCACACTCGTACGTATGTATATTTCAGTGGATATTGATATTATTAATAATAAGCATAAATTAAGTATTTTAAAAAAGTTTGTCATGTTCGTAATGAAATAAAGGACTTTTAGAAAATACAAAAATTTTGCATATTTTAAATAATTTGAAAATCTGATGAAATACAAATGAATGTACATGAATTGATAGAAACTTGTATCATGTTGGGGTTCTTTATATACTAATATACTTTGGTAATCATTTCCCTTATTTATTATTGTAAATACCATATAACTCTAAATGATATTCATCAAATCTATTTCTTGTCTCACCTCTCTGTTCAGAAAGACCTTTGCTCCCAGTCAATCATATTTACTGATTCATCAAATATTACTGTGTTCACCTTTTTTGTTTAGCTCCGAGTGCATCGAGTTGAAAATCGAGCAAAGTTTTCAAGTAAATGCTTTCACACATAAACTCCAGGGATTTATGCGCCAAAGTTATGGAAAATCTTCCAACTCTTTCGCAATCGGCCACAAAATTTGAAAACTCGAGTCGAGCTCTGAAAGTGGGGCACATCTTCAATTAGAGTTGCATGGAACTTGGGCGAAAGTTCAAGAGCAATTTGTATAAAGTTCTGGCAAAAGGATTTCATTAATATTAAAAAGACAACAAATAATGTGTTTTTATTCTTCTTTTGGCGTGGCAAGTAAATGGAAAGTTTGCCTCGGCTGCAGCCAGCTGTGCAATTTGCTCGAGTTCTGTTGGACTCCAGCTGTGGGTGTCCTTTTGGCCAAAGTCCTTCTGGCCAAGTGCAATTGAAATGCCACTGGAACTTTCAATGTCCGACTGTGATGGATGGGGACTGTATGTGTGTGCGCGTGTGTGTGTGTGGATCAAGGTATTTCGCCCTCTTCCAGACTCTCTGACTCATACTGAACGTCGGCTATTGGGATCCGTGGGAGTCGCCTCCTGCGCCAGCGACTCACGGGGACTGGCGAGGGTGAGCGGGGTAGCAGTATGGGCTTTGGCCACTTTATGTTGATTTTATTGAAATCAAAGTCGTCGCTAGTCAAATCAATAACGGGCAGCTCCTGGTCCTCGTCCGACTCCTGCTCCACAACAATTTGCTGCACCTCACGCTTGTCCGGCAGCCAGATGCGCGTGCTCTCATCGCTGCTGGCGAGCATGCTGCAGTGGGGATGGAACTGCAGGCAGTACACCGCCTCCCTGCACCTGCTGTGCAGCACGGCCATCAGCTGCCCGCTGGCGGCGTGCCACACATGAACGCGCCCCCGATCCGCGCCGGCCAGCACGTGCTGCGAGTCGGGGGTGTAGCAGGCCTGCAGCGGCAGCTGATCCCGGTTCGCATAGCTTCCATACGTCTGCCCGAGGCGCCCGTTGAACGCATCCACGCTGAAGCAGCAGCCGGAGTCGGTGCTGACCAGCAGGCTCTGGCCGTCGGGCGCGAACTGCAGCTGCGTCCACTTGGCCCCCTCGGTCGGCTGGTAGTCGAATTTCTGGCACGGCTTGCTGCCCATCTTGCGCACGTCGTAAATCTCAATGCGCTGCGCATTGTGGCTCGTGGCGCAGACCAAGCCGGACGGATCGAAGGCAACCAGCGGGCGCTGCAAGTGCTTCAACTTCTCTGTGTAGCGCTCACAGCGCAGATCCCACATCAGCACGCGATCATCCCAGCCAGCGCTCAAGAAGTGATGTGCACTACCTGGCTGAAAGCATAGGCCACGCAGCGCCCTCTTGTGGCCCTTGAAGTACCTCAGGTACTGATGACTGATCAAGTCCAAGTATCGTATGAGATAGTCCTCCTAGTACGATGGGAGAAGACACGAGAAAGTTCTTAAAAATGTGATAAGTGATGTCACTAAGTTTATGCTTAAGATTCTCGCTAACCTCACTCTGCACCTGCTGAACAACTTTTCTAAAACTCATTTTACTCCTCTCTCTATATTTCCTTACTTTAAGACAGGAGTACTAGGTAGTACTCTTGCTTCTCTTGAGCTTATCCAGACACGAGAGCTCTTAATAATATGGTAAATGATGCCATTATGTGTATGCTTAGAATTCATTGAACAACTTCTCTAAAACTCATCTTACTTGTCTCTCTATTCTTCAAAAATATTCTCTTAAGCAAGACAGAACCACTAAGTACTACATCTGACACAAGCGAGTTCTTAAAAATATGGTAAATGATGCCACTAAGTTTTCCTTAATATCAAATATACCTCTTGGCTAACTTATCTAAAACTCATCTTACTTCTGTTCAATTTCTGCCCAGCTCTTGCCTTAAGCCACACAGTCAGACGTATTACAGAAGTACTAGTACTAATCATGCTCCTCTTCAGCTTGTTCCCAGCTTCTCTCTACACTTCTACCTACTTTATCCCCAGCTGCTGTCCAGCTTCCTTCTAGCTTCTTCTGGCGTCTGTCTTCTTTTTCTTTTGCCTCCAACTAGCTTTTTCCTTCTTTTACTTTCGCTGCTCTGTAGCTTCTCCCTTGCTTTTCAGCAGCTCCTCTCCAACTTCTGACTGCCTTCTATAAAAACTTCTCTACTTTCGCCCTTCCCCTTGCTTTTCTCTGTATTCTTTCCACCTTCCATCTCCCCTTACCTTCGATGAGCTATGCAGTAGTCGATCATTTCGCTGGGTAAAGCAAGCCAGTTTGGGTCGATAATGCTGCAAGTTGACCAAGGACAGCTGCCGCAGGCTGCTGCAGTCGATGACCAGCAAATAGTGATGATCGCATACTAGCAGATGGCGTCCGTCCTGCGAGAAGCACATGGAATGCTTCAGCTCACACGACTCCTCGAAGATCTTGGCCACGCGAAACTCTCGCAACGTCTCAGCGTTCAGTTTGATGCTCATTTTGGAGTGAGTCAATTTCAAGTTCCAAGCAAAATGAGTTTTGACTCGATGCCAGCTGCTTGAGGCGAGGGCAAGGATGTTGGGCCAGTGCTACGCCTACTTCGACTTAATTAAATCAAATCTAGCCAAGCAGACGGACACGCCTCCCTCTTGGCTGCAGCTGGTCACTGTTGCATTTGACTTAATTTCCATTTTGTGGCTCCCATTGCGTCTCATTAGGGCGCTGTTATGGGGTGGGGGCGTGGCAGGGGAGTCTCTGGAAAAACGACTGTCGAGCTGGCCACACAGTTGGCATTGGCTATAATGCCATGCAACCCCGCTACCGCTCCCCCTCCCGGCTTCTCTCTGTGGGTATTTAGGCCGATTCGCGTCATTAGTGCTGCAACAGCATTCGACCAAATGTTGCCATCGGCGGCTCCCCAGATGCCAGCATCCAGCATCCAGCAGCCAACATCCAAAAGATGAACTAAATTAGACAGCAGAAGTTTTCTCTTGGCAGCAGCAGCAGCAGCAGCTGTCGACTTGCGAGTAAATAATGAAAACTGCAAATTGTTTATTTTCTGCATTCTAATTACAACAATTACTTAGAGCAGAACAAAGCGAGAGAGGGAATATCATCAATGTTAGATTAAGGCGATAGCAAGTAAATTCAGATTTAATTTGTATTTAAATGTGTGGATTGAATATGAAACGTTACTGAAAATTGAACTTGAAATGTATGAGAAAAAAAATGAAGAGAGTGTGTGGAATAAGATGAGAAACACTCAAAAAGAGATACATAAGAAAAATTTCAATGATTATGTATTAAACATGCTAAACATGGACAATGAAACTTGTAATGTGAAATTTGAAATATAAAATATGGAACATGAAACATTGAATATGAAATATGGTTTATGATATAGAGATTATAAAACGTGGAATATAATATATGGAATATGATATGTGGAAAATGAAATATGGAATATCAAGCATGAAATGTATAACATGCAAAATTCAAAGAGTAATATGAATCATGACAATGAAATATATGTAGAACTACTATTGAAATGAAACATATATGTATACAGAAACACGTAAACAAAATATACAAAAATTGCAAAAAAAAAAAAAAAAAAAAAAAAAAAAAAAATATTTGTGTAAATTAATTTCATCTACTTTTCATATATACAAATAGTTATCATGGTTCAATCAATAAGACTTCACAATAAGACATACATATATTATATTATATATTCAATCGATAGACTTGACAGAACGGGATATGCAACATTTAATGTGGAACACAAACGCAAATATATATAAAAAAAAAAAAAATATATATATATATATATATATATATATATATATATATATATATATATATATATATATATGTATAATACATATGCATTATTATATGATGCTGAAATCAGAATACAAATATGAAATATGAAAGGGGGAACTATTAATAACATTAATTAATTTACATAAGAATAAAAGATTCCCTATGAAAAGTCTTTACTTAAAATTTTAATTAAATATTCTTTTATATATGTATATATATGAATTCTAGGGTACAATATAAAATGTAGCAAATGTAACAAGAACAGGTAACGCTCGCCGTCAGGTCAGCATTAGATCAGGTGTTAAGACCTCAACTAAACGCTGGCTGTATCCATGGCAAATACCTGGACGCAACCTGTGGGCCAGGACTCGCTGATTGGCTGACTGACTGCCTCGCCGGGCCGGGCCGGGCTGGCTGGGAAATGAATGTAATTGTAATGTAAGCGGAAATAAGCGCGGCTGATGCTGTCGTTGACGTTGCTGTGCGAGCTGTGCGCATTTTAATTAAAATTTATAAGCCTTGGCCGGGGACTACTTGGCTGGCTGGCTGGGCTGTCTGGGTTGGCTGGGCTAGCTGGGCTGACTGGGCAGGCTATTTGGCTAGAATATCAGTGGGTCCTGTGCCAGGACCTCGCGTGGCGCTTTAAGCTTTTAAGTTGCGGTGGATTTGCGTAGCTATGCATTGGATTTTATGTGAAAATCAACTGCGGTGCGCATAAATTAAAAATCAAGCCACACAGAAAACAAACAAAATATAGAAAATTGAAAAACAAAATCAAGTACATATATACATATATATAGGAGGAGTGTACAAAAAATAAAGCAAATATTTAGTAGTTTTCTGTTTTATACATTTTTTTATTTAATGAGAAATATGTATTAAGCTATCAATATTATTTTTTCATGTATTTATTTTAATAAAAATTATTTAATTTTTGTATATATGTAAATTTTAAAGTTACTTTCAAAAGCGAACGACTTTCCTGCATAAACATCCAACCTGAAATATATTTGTATATAACTCGTGTAAATGAAGAATGAAAATTAAGGCAACTTCTCAAACATACCTCGCAAGGGATTTCGTTCTTTGTGTTTTGCATCATTTGTAATTAATTTGCATCATTAGCTTTGGCGTAAAGCATTTGCATTCCATGTGGAAAATCCTGGCCACAATTTACGCATTTTGCGGCTTTGCCCGTCAAATTCAATTATAATACAACCACAAAATATAAAAAAATATATATAAAAAAAAAATAAATAAATAAAATGAAATGAACGAAATTAAATAAAAAAAAAAAACAACAGTGGAACAAACAAATTTGGAATTATTTATTTTAATGGATTTCAGCGCAATTTATAATTGTTTGCATTCAAAAAAATAATATTAATAAAATCAATTTGAATTAATATTTCTTGTTGCTTTAATCACTCAACAAAACATAAAGAGAGAAAGAGAGGGAGAGGGGGAGAGAGAGAGAGAGTGTACACAAAAACTATTGCATATATAATTATAATTATGTTAATAAACATATTCACATAATCATAACATTTTAAAGGCACATAAAAAATTCATTTTAATTTTTACTTATTCATATCAAATTTAATTTGCTGCAATTCTATTTAATTTTTATTGTTATGGCAAACGAAATATTGCGAGGCGATTATATACATTAAATTATTATAATAATGAATTTTTTAAAGGGCTTTGCAATAAATTTACACAAATATTTAATTCAATATTATTTATAAATTTAAACATTCGCCCAGAATTACATAAAAATGGACTTTAAACTGTAAAAGTGCTCGAGTCAAGATTGCAAAGAGTTTAACTCAAATCATTCTACAATGCGATATCTATAAATATAAATAGATATATATATATATATACATATGTAAGCTACTATACTTATATATGTGTTCTATCACTTTTAATTTTCATCCTTAATATGTAGTTAGCCCATAAATCTATTTATAGTCGTCATAGATTGAATATTCTCTTGACCCAATATTCACTTCATGCGAGCCACTTGAATAATCGAATATATCAGATTGCACATATACATATGTATATGTTTATGTATATGTGCATTTATGCATCTGTATACTAGCATACATTGCTCTTATTGTCGCCTCGTTGGCCAATGCTAAATTGGATTTGTGTTTGCATCTCTGTTAGCCACTTTTGCTTGATTTTCGGTACTTTTTGGCCGCTTTTGTTTGCCAACTGTTTATTGATATTTTATGCGCCATTTTGCAGAGCAAAATTGCACTAATTGCAATTTTAGGCACGTTCCATAGGACACTCGACATTGCATTCGCATTCACAATCGCATTCGCATTCGCCTCGCATTCAATTGCCAATTTAATTGTTGCCAGACAACGAACCATTAAAACAGATTCCAATTTTATGGAGGCCAAAAACAACAAATACAATGCAAATTATAAATTTGTGCTCTATATAGCATGCCCTTCTTGAAATGGAACTTAGGGGTATATGTGGCGGATTTTTGAGAAAAGTGAAGTATTATGAATAGATTTGTGTATGCTATAGATACATATATAAGAATATAAAGAAAATTAAAAATATTCATCTATATGAATTTATGGATAGATAAAAAGACAAACATACATATATAAATATATACATATATACACATAAATCATGCGAGGCAATGCATATAAGTATGGTTATAGTAAATGAAAATATAGATATATGGTTAAAAAAAAATTGTAGATAGATACATATGTAGATAGATAGATAGATAGATATATAGATAGATGGATAGATAAATACATAGATACATAGATACATAGATACATAGATGCATAGATACATAGATACATAGATACATAGATACATAGATACATAGATACATAGATACATGGATACATATATACATAGATACATAGATACATAGATACATAGATACATAGATACATAGATACATAGATACATAGATACATAGATACTTAGATACATAGATACATAGATACATAGATACATAGATACATAGATACATAGATACATAGATACATAGATACATAGATACATAGATACATAGATACAAAGATACATACATACATAGATACATAGATACATAGATACATAGATACATAGATACATAGATACATAGATACATAGATACATAGATACATAGATACATAGATACATAGATACATAGATACATAGATACATAGATACATAGATACATGGATACATATATACATAGATACATAGATACATAGATACATAGATACATAGATACATAGATACATAGATACATAGATACATAGATACATAGATACATAGATACATAGATACATAGATACAAATAAATGGATAGATTAATTTAGAAAAATAGAAGGTAAGCAAAGATACTTTGACAAATAAATTATACACATACATATACCCATGTATGTTGATATTGTAAAATTTATTTAATTTTATATTCCTACGCAGTATTTCCATAGTCGTTCTATGCACTGCAATCAATTCAATTTTGTTGTCATGGTAAAGGCATTTTAATTGAAACTTGTAAAGCTCATATCGATTGCTCTGGATTTATGTCAAATATTTTTTTGAAAATTTTCCATATCAACATTACCATATCGAACCACAGGCAACAGATTTCGGCTGTCAATTGTTGTTGTTGTTGTTGCTGCTGCTGCTGCTGCAGCTGACATTTGAGCCAAAGTGCAATTTGTAGCCAAGTTCAGCATGCAAATCTTAAAAGTGCATAAATTGCAGGAGTATTAAATGGTAGG